CAAGAAGAAAAAGAAAGAAATAGAATTGTTAGGGATTTATACTCGTACAGCAAGTTCTGAAAGCCTTTTAAAAATTTCTACCAACTTGCATAGCTCTGCAAGTTAGATGAGTGACTCTTTCCTAAAATGCCTTCACATGTAACCTAAGAGTTTGATTTCTGAGTTTATTGGTGACATGAAATTAACTAAGATAAGCCATGAAAATTAGGAATGTTATGTGTTTTATAACTTTGGGTAACTATGCAAATCCCTTAAGTTTGGAGGAGATATTTTAACATTTTCATATCCAGAAAAAGGGAGCCAAATCCTGCCTTAGTGTTGGAAAAGGGTATAAGGATAGGGCCAGTTGCCTAGAGATCTGCCTTTTGGGTGATTATCATCTTCATCTATTAAAACCCTGGAGTCTTTACACTTTCATACATTATGAAAATAAAGCCTGACTTGTAGTGTAATGCTTGAAGAATCCAGCTGAGAAAGAGCCCAGACAAATGCTTAGTCCAGCACTTGAGGGTTGTTATCTGCTTCCCTTGAGTCTTGGGCAAATTAAGCATTTATCCCTAAAAGACAGAAACTGAGTTGGTTCAGGTAACTTCATTGTAGCCAGATACTAAATTCTTTAGGATAAGTCCTTGAAAACCTGATGCCTTTTTGTATTCTTCAATGTAAATACATTTTTATGCTAGAAGATCCAAGTAGAATATGAATTTGTGGGCTTTGTGCTTTGAACCGTCAAAACTCATACTTGTAAGTACAAAGCTGTTTCTAAGCTGTGGATCCCGTTAAGAGCATCTTGCTAACTTCATTCTGTAAGGAACCAGCATCAGCTGGGAATTGAACTAGATGGCCAAAGATACCGCTTCCAAACCCTGACTATCTGTGAAATCCTGAGTTCAAAGTTAAATGGAGAATCATGTTTTCATGGTTGTAGTGAAATAAGGAGGCCTTCTGGCTCTACAGAAAGTACTCCTCCCCTAGTTTTTACTTATTAACCCCAAGTTTCCCTGCAGTTGCACACATCATGGTGGCTCTGCCAAGCATGCCTGACCTGCCTCTTGAGAACTGATTCTTTGTTCCTGCCACCTTTCCATCTAGAAGACTAGTTTAAAAAGCTTTAAATCACAGAAGCCAAGGCAAAGTAGCCAGTTTATAAAATATAATGTAATGAAAACATCTTCTGAACTTTTCAGTTGAAATAATAGATATCTCTTCAAAGGCTAAGGAAAGCTGACTATAATCTTCTTTTGTCTAAAGCCATTTTTTGATCAAAAAGAGTGGGAGCAGAAAAATAGACCAAGTCCATGCTGACTTCCCAGTGACAGTATGAGTTCATCCAAGTCATTTGTCAGTCTTTTCAAATTTCCAACATAGAAGAATAAATTTGAAAACTGCAGTGGGTCTAATTTAATAAGAGTCTAGGAAGCGGGAACAAGGAATGCAGGTTATTTAAATTTTCCTTGCCTATAGCTGGCAAAAGAAGTGAGATCATTAGTAGATAATATGATGACTACCCAGTTTGGTATAGTTTTTCTTTTTCTGATAAAATCATTGATTTATCTCATATTAAAAGTACACAGGGCTGAGGATGTAGCTCAGTAGTCAATCACTTGCTTAGCATATGCAGGGCCCTGGGTTTGATGTCCAGCATTGGAAAAAAACAGTAAAGAAATGGGCTGGGCACAGTGGCTTGTGCCCAGCTACTGGTAGGTGGAGCAAATCACAGTTCAAGACCAACCCAGGGCAAAAAGTTAGCAAGACTCCATCTCAACAAAATATACTGTACACAGTGGTACACATCTGTAATCCCAGCTACTTGGGAGATATATGTAGGAGGATCACAGTCACAGGTTGGCCTAGACATAAACAAGAGACCCTATCTGAAAAATAACCTAAGGCAAAAAGGACTGGAGGAGTGGTCTTGAGTTAAAGCCCCACTACTGTCCTCCCCCAACAAAAGAAGAAAAGTGCTTATAAAAAGTAACACGTATTACAATGAATAACACTTTGAACATTTCCTACATGGCAGGCTTTGTGCTTTTATGTGTATTAGTCATTAATTCTCACCATCAGAGTCTAAGCCCAGGTATTTGGGCTCCAGACCAGAAGTGCTACAATTTCTGGTTCTGCTATTTAGAAGCAATGTGACAAGCAAAATCACTCAAATTTTTTTGCCTTAGTTTCTTCATTTGTGCAAATAGAGAAAATAGTACCTTCCTCATGGCAGTCTTCATTATTGAGTTAATATATATTTCTTAGAGCACTGTCTGGCCTATAATAAGCTATGCATAGTGTTAGTTTTTATACTGTATTATAAAAAATATTATCTTTGATATCATATAATCTTGGCATATAGCATTTGAATATTTTTCTATACTTACATATGTATATATGTGTATTTTGCTTTAAAATGTATTTACTTACATAATTACAAATAAGCATTTCTATATAGAATATATTGTTATATATGACTATATAACAATATATTCTATATAAAATATATTTGCTATATACAAGTATATAATAAACATGTATTTTAAAAGAAGAATTGTGATCATACAAGCATGCATCAAGTGGGCAAGAAAACAGGCTGCAAAACCATGTGATGAAGACTTTTCCATGTTGAGTATTCTTTTAAGACATAGTATTTTAAGTCTGTATAGTCTTTTTTTACATGACAATAATGTAATTTTGCCAACCATTTTTTAGTTTAAATTATCTTCACTCAATCACTAATACCAAATGGAAAGAGTAGCCTATGTATGAATTTGTGCACATCTGATTATAGCACTAGGATAAATTTTAAGGTTTATCTGCTGAACCGCCGTTTGGGCATATTTTTAGAGAGAGATTTTTGGTATGCGTCACCATGTCATTGCAAGGGTCAGCTCATTGTGCTCTCCCACCCGTGTAATGAAAGTATTTGCCCTCACAGCTCTGGGTACTTCATCTTGAGGCAACGTTTCTGGAAGCACTTTTCACCATTTCTCCAGCTGTATGTGCTCCCTTCCTTTCTTGTCAGGAGGTGTGGAATGAGTGAGTGAATAAGTACAGATGGGAGGCATGGGCAGTCTGAAAGACGCAGGAGTAAGGATAAACCAAGGATGACAGCAACTGAGATAGCCTGATTAAGGCAGGCATGCTATGGACAAGGTCTCCAGATGAAGCCTGCTCTGTCCCTTTGGCACATCCTCCTAGGAATCATAGATCAGAAGCCTTAATCTGCTGCAGGGGACCCTTAGAAGTCCATGAGGTCACCGCACAAGCAAAAAGTCATGTGTCCAGAGCTTCACAAGACTCAAAAGTGGGCTTGTATCCTAGACAGAAGTTAAAACACAGTGCTGTGGAGTTGTGTCTTCACCCCTAGTTTCCAGGAAATCTGAGATGTTAAATTGAACTACTGCCTCAAAGGAGGAGGGCTGGTGCTGTCACTGCCATGGCACATGTAGAAAACAAAAGGGACCCACTTCCCAGTCAGTGCCTCTACCTATTCCTGTGGGTCCTGAGGATCTTTCTTTTCTCCTATAGAGTCCAAGGAGAGAGACACTGTTCAAAGCTAGGAGCTGTTTTTACCAGGCAGTTTTTTCTGCCACTGTGGTATCAATAATTGTACATATGATCTAGCTATGACTGCCTTCCTGAGTTGTTGAGAACCTAGGAATAACAAGCTCAGGACCATGGCATGTTGAGTCATTTCTTTGTTCTATGAGGAGGCTGTCATGTTGGTCACTGGTCTCAAAGGGCCCAGGTACAAGGAGGTGAGTTTATCTATAAACCTATGCTTGCTAGTGGAAAGAGATGCCATCTTAGTCCACTCATGCTACAGTAACAAAATACCTTAATTTGCAAAGTTATAAGCCAGGTAATTTAGAAACAGAAAATTACTGCTCACCTTCTGGAAAGCTGGGAAGTACAGCATAAAGGTCTTAACAGATTGGTGTCTGGTAAGGAACTACTTCCTTGTAGATAGCCATCTTCTCACTCTAACCACATGTGGTGGAAGAGGTAACAGACCTCTCTCAGACCTCTGTTGTAAAGGACACTAATCCCATGACAGTCATCTCCCAGGTGCTCCTGGTACACTGCACTGGAATGAAGTTTCAACACATGAGCTTTGGAGGGACACAGGCACTCCGACCACAGCCCTGCCTTACCTGCAACAGAAAGAGGAGCATCTCAGAAGCCAGAGTGGCCATAAATATTTTTCCATGTTCTGTGAAACTAGCCGAGCATCTCTTGCATTAACATTCTTTATTAGGATTAATTTAGATCAAAACAGGGAAAGCATGTTTTTTTTTCCCTTGGGAAGTTAATTCCTATATGTAGGAAGAGGCTGAAAACACAAGTAATGGTTTTATTTTTGTTATTGTTGGTTTTTTGGTGTTTTTGTTTTGTTTTTTGGTGGTACTGGGGTTTGAACTCAGGACCTCACACTTGCTAGGCAGACACTCTACCACTTGAGCCTCTCTACCACTTCCATGAGTAATGGTTTTAAGTGATACTAGAATAGTCAAGATCAGATGGAATTGATTCACTAAGTCTCAGACAGAGATGAGCTTGGTCAGTCGGGCATTGACACAACTTGGCAGAAGAAAAGAGGAAGCAACACTCAAACTGGGCAAATGTTATGTTTAAGTTGTCACCAAGGAGCAATAAATAGGTGTGTTTGGCCAAGGCCACATTTCAGTGGATCACAAATTTGTTGTATGTGGAGAAGCCCTACCTGAAATGGTCTTTCAAAGAGGTTTCATGTTCCTTAACTCATTAGATTCTTAAAATAGTATTCAGAGAATGACTACAGAGTTGTAATGCAGACTCTAGGGACAGAATCAGAGCAGTTTCTATGACTTGGCCAAACTGAGTAGATAAGTTAGTGTCAGTGCCAGGGTTCCCAACTCTGGTGACTGGTGTCTAAGATTGGAAAAGCTCAGAGTAGTGACAATTGGGTCAGCTTATCACAGAATTCTCAGAGTGGGTATTTCAGCTCTCATCTTTTCTTTCAACAGAAACAGCAGCAGAAAGAAGCCCTCATTGTCTTCTTCAACAGAACAGCTGAGGCTAAAATCCCATGTGTCATGTAAGTAGCCAGCAAGTGTCTGCCTGTCATTTTTTTTCTCTCTCATATTGGAAAAAAAAGGGGAAAAATTATTACCTTAGTCTGCCAGAATGATTTTATTGCTTTAAAATTTGATCAGAGATTAGAATCATAGCTGATTTGAAAATAAGTTTTGGCTATCATGGATTTATCATCCACTAGTCATAAGTCACCCTATAAATGGAGCCACTGCCAAGCTATGCTCAGGGTCCCTGAAAGAGCCTGTCTCAATTCAAGTAGGCTAGAGCTGCTGTGACTTAAAAGGAGGATGGAGGGGCCAGGCATGGTGACCAACACTTGTAATCCTATCTACTGAGGAGACAGAGATAAAAGGATTACAGTTCAAAGCCAGCCCTAGTTAGCAAGACCCCACCTCAACAAACAAGCTGGGTATAATGGCAAACAACAGTGGTTCCACCTTCTTAGGAGGTAAAGGCAGGAGGATTGAGTAAAAGTACAAGATGATATCTGGAAACAAACTAAAAAGCAAAAGGAATGGGGGCATGGCTAAAGTGGTAGCATGCTGCAAGGCCCCGAGTTTTGTGTGGGCCTGACCCACACAAAAAAAGTTCTCTGGCAAAAAGAACTGCAGTTACTTGCCTTTAAGAAAGAGGAAAAAAAAAAAATTAGAGGGAGAAAGCTGCCTATAGGGATACTGGCTCTTCTCCAACACACGGAGTTTTAGCTATTATTTACCTACATAGAAAGGCAGAAGTCAAAGTTTGTTCAAAAGAAATGGGCAAGTAGCCATTGTCACACTTAGTTCTTTTTCTGTCTTATTAAGCTAAAGCTGAAGTAATAATTTCTATTCTTAGTATTATTTGCTGATTTTAAAAATCCTCAATTATCTGCCTTTTAAAAAATTTTTTTTTCCCAGTGGTGCTGGGCTTCCTGCTTGCAAAGCAGGCACTCTACCACTTGAGCCCTATCTGCCTTTTTTAAAGAAAGACAAACCCACTCGTGTTCCACTCACTGGTTGGAATTGTAGGCAATCCTAATGATGTGTACTTTGCCTGATTGTTGTATTTGTGTGAGGCTATGGCAGGACAGTGGCCCAAGTGACTCAATCATAATGAAAATAAATTTTATGAGAGCTAAGTGGTTCCCAAGTGGCTGTGAGACTGAGATTGGTGGATAAATTGAGAAACACATGCCCTGCACTGCTTTCTGATTCAGCCCCCAGGTCCCTTGGCCCACCAACCTGTTCCTTCCCACCTTTACCTGTGAGAGGAGTCCTGCCTCACTCAAATCCACGTGCACCACAGAGATACTGTTGACTATTGACTTCAGCCTCTGGGCACTGCCCTTTTCTTTTATTATACTCTTAAGGGACTTGAACTCCAGACATGGTTTTTATGGCCTGGAAACTTCTTTCTCAGAAACAAATCTGAATTGACCCTGCCAACCCATTTCTTAGATGCTGTTGAACAGATGGCAAAGTTCTTTGCCTCGCTCCGTTAGCCTATGACCTACAAAATCCAGTGTTGGTGGAGCTCCTCTGTCTTTGGGTGTTGGGCCCACAGCCCCCATGTCCTTTAGAATTTCAGAATTTGAAGTGTTACCATTAGATGAATCTTTTTTTGCAGTGCTGGGGATCAGACCCAGGGTCTCACACATGCTAGGCAAGCTCTGTGCCCCTGAGCTGCATCCCTCTCCCAGCCCTTAGTTTTCACCATTCTGCTGCTTCATGCATAAACTTTTGTCACATTAGACATACTTTTACAAAATTCTATGATAAATTGTGTAGTGCCTCTGTTCATTTAATATTTGCAGCCCTTTTGTGAAATCTGTAGAAGTCACATTGGCTCCATTTCTAAAATGTAGACAATGAGAAAATCTATGAATCTCTGGACCTCATACATCTAGTTAGTAGAAATTAAGTCACACATCTGGTTAGTGGAAATTGGACTGTAACTCTTAAAAACCCCAACTTTCTTTGCTAGATGTTTTTTTTTTGGTTGGTTGTTTTCATTTCAGTGGACATCTTTTAGTATAACAGCCAAGGTTATAGTGGTAGGCAAGTATTTCCAGCCTGGTAATGGGTGGAAGAGTAAAGCTGTGTCAGATGTGAAAGGGAAGGAGGCAGTAGGAAAATTGGGGCCAGAAGTCTCTATGAGCTCACCAAGTGAATTTTGTGGCCCGTGACTTTTTGATGCTGTAGCAATAAACTTTTTCACTTAGATCATGGTAAATTTTATGTCTCTCACAATCATTAAAGTAGATCTTGTTAGTAGAGCAGTTCATGGATTGAACTCAAATCTGATATCTTGGTCAGTGGTAATGTTTGAAAATGATTGATTCTTAGATGTTCAAGAATGGTCCATTTACCTTTCCAGTCTCTGCCTGTAATCAGAGGCTGTTGAGATTTATCCTTTAAGGAAGGCCTTGTCTACTCTCTGCCTAGATATGCCATGCCTGAGGATGACCTCAGGCAAGGTGAGTGTTTTGGTGAGCAGCGGGTTATCTATACAGGTTTATCTCTTCCTTGGGATTGTGAAAAATTGTGAATCTCTATGCAGATTCTAGCTAATCTAGAATCTAGAGGAACAGCAAGGATGTGCTGACTGGGTGACTCCCCATCCAATTGCTCCCCTGTAGTAGTGGTCTTCCTTTAAGGCCCAA